ACCACTAAACTGCGTGTATTTACAAGTAGCCTCAGTAACATCCTCGCGCTCTTCATTCTTCACACCCACTATCACGTCCCTAGTTTGAAGAATACTCTTTCAAAAATTCCAAATCCCAAGTCCAAGAACAATATGCTGAATGCCCTGGCCAGTTGCCATGGCTTAGGACATGGCATGGTGGATTCGATATCCCGGAGAACACCGACCGGCTCCTTTGACCTCTGAGACGGCCAAACAAGGGCTGATACAGGCGCAATCTTGCGTATAACACGTGGCGTTGACTTGGCAGCCGGCAAGACATGCGGTCTGGTTGGAGGCCTGCGCTCCTGTGCAAGGCGCAAGGTTGCGGTTCGCATTGCAGTTCTCTTGCACCAGTTTCTGCGCCTCCCGCTGCTGCATACGCTTGCGTCTAATCTCCTCCTCATGCTGTTCCATGATCTTCAATAGATGCCTGCAGCACAAAACTAAGACTCCTATTCCATTAAGAACTCAAAAGCCAAAAAAAGCATCGCCCATTGATCGCACAAGCCAGTAGTGACTCTCAGTAGTGCACACTTATGCACTCAAACCATCTTCTACCAGCTGGCACACCAACCACCGTGGCTAAAGGCAGCGCTAATTGCATGTTGGAAAAGCTGAGACTATCTTTACGGTTTGTACAACTGCAACACTTGCTGGCAGGCCGCTGCTGTTGCTGTTGCAAGGAGAGCTGCCGTAGCTCCTGAGGTTCTACACCTGCAAGGGGCGTCACACAGAAGCAACGCTTCAAAGCTTCCTCCTTGCTATGTCTACGACAGCCTGACACAGGCTGTTGTGGCAGCGGCCTGGCAACATGCCCCGCTAGAGATTCATTAACAAAACAGCTCTGAACTTGCATCACACTTCGCACAGGTGATTGAAGAAAGTTATGTAAAAACCTCACAGCTCAACATGGCAACCCCTGCTTGGTCGCTGGCTGCTGCAGCGGACGCAACCGAGTCTGCCAGGCAGCTGCTTCAGCTCTGATCGTTTAAGCAATTTTGCAAGGCGCTGCGCCTCCTGCACAGAGGCCTCCGCTGCAGCTTCTGACCTCAACTGACACATGTCCCTGTCTCTGTTCTCTACTGCTCTGGCAGACCATGCTGCATGCTGCCCAGAGGCCGCCTTTTGCGATATCGTCCCCGCCTTCGGGGCTCTTCAACGTTAGAAACGCTGTCCTGCAAGGCGAGCGGAGACCATGGCAGGTCAAGGAAGGCAAAGAGTTACAGCTTGGGGCGTGCAGAGGGCGTGGCGTCTCGGATATCTCGGTCGTCTTGAGGTGGCAGAAACGTCGATCCTGTTGACTAGAAGTTGATACGGATCCGTGGATTGAGGAAAAGAGCCCACGCTGCGACACGCCTGGAACGAGCGAGCTGAGACCAGAGCCACCTGATGAGGAACATTTTTTAAACCAAAAGCCACAGAATGCCAGAGAAAGTTTCAGGATTCGAACTTGCTTCGGCCACAGATGCACCGGTCCCAGCATCTCCTGCCGTTGCTTCAAAGTTGACAAAGTCAGTTTGAAAAGCCAACAGCATCTTGCCTTCACGTTGCCCTGTGTCAAGTTCTGTCAGGATAAGCACAATGCACACTCAAAGTTCAAGAATCTGTCGGTCACCTTGCCTTCAGGAGGAATGTCAGGTGCGATGGCCTCTGGCTTGACACATGACAGCAGCTAGGGCAGAGCTTGCCATCCATGAAGCCTCAGCCATGGGAACTTCTGCTGTGACCGACTCCCGCAGTATGCCGAGATGCTGAAGGCTGCCTGCAGCGAACCATCTAACAGTTGGAACGGTAGCAATCCACTTTGACATTCAACATCGCAGCGGCTATCAAGCCTCAAACCTTTACATCCTGAACTTCAACAGCCTTTAGATTTAAAAGCTAGAGAAACGGTTGTCCCGAAAGCGTCTGGAACAGCGAGTAACATTTCCGCAGCTGTTTCTGGCTGTGCATAGCAAGTAAGCTGACTGGCCGGCTGTGATGAAATGGAAAAGCAGTAGCAACAGCAGCAGAGGTCCTGGTGTAGGAGTTGTAGTAAATAGTAACGATGGGGAGAAGAAGAAGAAGAAGAAGAGTAAAAGCAGGAGCATGAACCACCCACTTGCTAGGTGGGGTAGGTGTATGACATGTCTGAACCTGAAAGTCACAGCATCTTTGCTACTTGTCTGAACTGAAACGCCCGCGCCACCCGCTAACAGCGAAAGAGTTCAACTTGCTTATGTTCTTCTCAAGTAAAAAGGTTTGGGCTCATGCTTATGTACTGGTCTGTCAGCCTGACAAGCCCCGACGTGATAGAACATACATAAGACTAGGGCAGATGAGGGGTGTGCCAAAGCATTGGGTGGATTCAGGCCCAGACACGAAAGATGTACAAGGCTGAAAATGACACAATGACAAGGCCAATCAGGAGACCAACAAAACTCATTGATGTTGCTTGTGATACATTTCGCTGCCGCAACATCTTTGTGCCACGCCCCCTTCAAGTTGCCCACCTTCATCATCACGATACAGTGGTCGGAAACGAACGTCCTGTTCAACGATGAACCGTGCCCCACAGCAGGCCCTTGAGCACGCTCTGTTGAACACACTTGAAGACATCAGGTCTTGACTGACACTCCGGTCCGGGCAGCGGCCACCAATCTCAAGTCGCCGAAAATGTGCAACGTTGGGTTGGAGACCTTGAAGTGATGCCTGACAAGTCCAGCTCTCAAGCAGCACGCATAGTTGCAATTGCTGGCTTGGAGCCAACAAGTGTGCAGCCTTCACCACTTTCAGCGGCTTGTGCCCGCGCCCTGCACGGCAAAGCTCCTCGACACACCATACCCAACATGCTCAGCGTTCGTGACAGGCACTCTCTCAGTCCTTGCCCATCCAGACTTGTTGAAACTCAGATGCATGGCTTGCGTCCTCGGAACGTGTTGGCAAGGATGTTCATGTCATATGCGCCACATGTTCAACTAACAAGGTCTTGCCAAATGCCTGCTGTCTTCGTGGCCTTGGCCTTTACACTTGTTACGGGCTAATCAGCAGCTTCTTCTGTGTACGTCCCCAGGCCAAAGAATAGCAGCCCGATTAGTGGATTTGTAAGAGGATGACTTCAAGCTCTGTAAGGAAGGAGAAGCCATGAGGATTTCCTTGATTTCCTGAACAACTGTCATGTGTACAGGGTTGTTAAAGCGGAGGAAACACGAAGAAAATCATGGATTTCCATCGCCTTCCGGAAAAAAATCGCTTCTGCTGAATAGACTGAGTTCAAAAGAACCCTGGTGAGATTTGATCAGAACTAGTTCTGTCGTTTCCTGGATTTCCTAGACCGCTAGCTATTGCTTGAAAGCTTTAGAATGGACACCACGCGAAAGAATCAGCAATGCTGCTCCCCCTTCTGCTGTTGTCCTGTTCTCCTTCCTTACAGCCACCAACTTAGGGTTTTCGTTCCTAGAAACTTTCCGTCCGCCACTTCTGTCATGTTCCAGCACATTTGTAAGAAAGCAAAATCATAGCGGAATTAAATGAATACACAATGGGTGTCTTAAATGTCTTGCAAATTCATCTGCATATCGCTTAGCACACGGCCGTGAAGTTGATGAGAGCATATCCAAAGTTGTGACCAGCCTCGAAACACAAGTTGGACTTGCATGTGTCACGCACATGCTAGCATGCTGGCCTTGTGGTCCCATGGACAGTAAAAGAAGTTAAAGTTTCCGCGCATGGTTGCTGTCAGGTCCTGTGTCAGCAGAAAGCTGGTGTGCTCGGCTGAATGGTGACTACTACAGAAATTCCTCGAACATGGAGAGAAGCGCACCTGGTCACATGTCGGGTTATGTGAGAAGATTGACCTTTATGGTTGACATGATGTGGCACTTTCAAGTTCTGACAAAATGCTGGCCACCTTGTGTCAAGTATGTCGGGACATTGCTAATCAAGAGCGTCGTCACCTATCCGTACCAGGCAAAGGCGTTGGTAAAGCAGTTCACTGCCATTGGAGCCTGCTGAGATGCCGCACTGTGAGTGTCACTGCTTCCGGAACTCCTCAAAACAAAAATCTGCGATATACAAGCAGCCAGGAGACTTGAGACGGGACCAAGCACGGCTTAGGTTGATACCTTGGAGGCCGACGCGCAGAGGATTTGGCTTCTGGGCTGGCCCCTGCACAGGTTAATTAGTCCCCTCTCACATTCAAAGCATCACGTGCGCATCCTTTGCCTGTACGCGGACCTGCGGTTGAACTGGCAGCCTGTGCATTCCCGGAGGAAAGATCAGAGGCAGCTAGGGCTGGGGCGAGCATACCAAAAGCTGACCTGACCATTTCCTGCACCTGACGCGGCCAGGATGCAGGGCTGATTGACCAATACTGGCACAGCCCAGGGAAAAAGCGGCTAAGGCAATGGCCACTGCTGCTGCTGTCACTCGTGGCAGGCGGAGACCCAGTCCCTGTGTGCTCACTCCTCAGAAAAGTGTGCGCCACAGCAGTCACAGTACGGAAATAGATGGCAGTTAGAGAACACGAAAACGAAGAATGAAAACAGGAAAATCAAACAAACATGCGGATTCAAAGAAATGACACAAGCATCGAAGTATCCTCGGCACTGCTGTAACGCTGGAATTCACAGACGCCCAAGAGCTTCCATCGGAGTTTTCGTTCCTGGCCACACGGGCGAACACTAGACGGAAATGCATGGCAAAGATGGCATTGTCCGTGCGGCAAGAGCCTTTCATTGCGCTCGTTCCAGGAGGAGCAAGGCAGCGAGGAGCGACTTCGCTCTTCAGAGCTCTGCGGCTCTGCCTGACAACTGAAAGACACAACTGTAAGGCAAAGCTTCAACTTAGATGCCCATGCTGAACCTCTGCTGCTCGCGGTGTTGGCGCAGAGCCACCTTGCATGCGAAACAAGCTGTATCTAAAATCATCACCACAATAGGCTCTGAGTTCGAAACTGTTTTCGTTGCTGGACTGGCCACTAGTGCTGCCCCCGTTGCCGGTAGCTGTGCTGGCACTGGTCCCCTGTGACTCCTTCAGGCTGTCCGAGCAAGACACGTTGCATCAAGCAAAAAGTAAAAAGTGGCGCCTGCTGTGAACTTGAATATGCCTGCTCGGGTCGTGAAGGCAGCGAAAAAAACTCTTTCTGAAGAGGTTCTTTCTGAGGAGGCTCCTCCTGCTCAAACATCGACTCAGCATTCATAGATTGGATGACATCAACACATCAATCAGCATCTCCTCAATTGATTGGATGGAGGCAGAAGCAGCATCCTGACGTCTGTGAAGATTCCCGAACACATCATCGCTTTGTCACAAATTTCCACCGCAAGTAGCCGGCTCAATCGTACCCTATATCCCCAAATGCCTGCAAGTGTGACCAGCAGCCTATACCCAACGAATTCTTCAACCCACCAGTCAAGCTCGGTCCGTCCCAGCAGGCTGCACAGGACGGAGCTCGTCCTGCGGTATGCGCTGATTTCACACTGACCAGTGTGCTATGCCACCAAGTGTCTAGTGACTCAAATGGCAGTCCACGGAATGCGCAAACCGACACTGTTCTCCATGCTTGCACTTGCCTCAAGACAAGCAAACACGCTACGCACCAAGCTTCCAGAACAAGCCAGGCATCCGAACAAACCAGCCGGTTGCCCTGCCTGACTGCGCGAACACGCACATTTTCATCTTGAAGAACCCGTGAGTGGAGCGGAGTTCTGACCTCGAGACAGAGTACACCAAAAAGCAACGTGATATGGAAACTCCCGCCACGGGCAGGTTCCCACAACAAACTTTTCTGGAAGTGTCAATTCTTCCACCATAACCAAGATGTTTATCACAATAGAGCTGAGACTGCAACTCTGAATGAGCGTATCTACAGTTTTCGCTGTTGCAACTTCCTTCCCTGAGCAACGTCCTGGCGCCGCAGACGTAAAATGATGCGGATGTCAGTCGTCGCATCAGTACAGCGCCTGCACATGCTCGTCCTGGTCAGATCCGGTTTGGTCCTGACCTGATGGAAACATCACATCCCAACATGAGGGAAACATCTCGACCTAACGCAACAAGTCTGCTGACGCAGCCTCCGTTGCTTCGTGGGCATAAGAACAAGAATCTCCATTTTCACAACGGCCCTCCAAGAAGAACTTGCACATGTCCTGGGATCACAGTATCTCCATGTCTTTCACATCAACGTGTGTTCAAAAGACTTGTGCTGCTAAGGCCAGTGCTGTCTTGAAGAGTTGTGCTGCGTGTCTCCTCCTGAGGGCACGATCTGTCTGCGAACTCAAGTTTTGGCTGTGCATGCTCGCTCCTCATAGAAGAATGAACTTGCCGATTCATGTATGGTTGGGTGTTGCGCTCAAGCGCTTTGGGCACAAGCCTCAAAACAAATGGCTCATGACGGCACAGAATGTCTCGAGAGGCACAAGCAGTTCGTGTCTGAGACAAACGCCCGGGTGACAAAAGTCACCGTGCGACTGTCACACATTTCAAATTTGAGCCTTTGAGAAAGGCTGCCACGTCAAATTGCGGTGCACAATCGAAAATCACGCCAAATCATTATGTTGTGTGCTTGAGCACTGGACCTCAACCTTTAGACAAGGGAACGGAATTTTGCACTGTGTACATTCTAAATTCATGACATGTCTTGTTCAGTATAAAGGACGTCGCATCGGAATAAACAAGAACTGTACATCACATGTCTGATTAAACCACTGGCTTGCATGTTCGTTGTGCCCGATAATTTTCCATTGCGGATGGTCATCGAAAATCACAGCACCAGCCACAAGCCGCATATTGATTGAATACTCGCGAGTTCAAACAATACAGAGCATGAAAACTAACGTACAGACCATGTGCACACGCAAGCAAAAGTGATATTATTCCAAAACTTGTATGCAAGCGGGTTGGTGCTTAAAACATGTCATGTTCATATTGACAAGGTTACAACAACACGTCTACTAGGCCGGAAGATCTGTTTATATGAACTGCGCAGCCTTTGTTTGTTGCTTGGATCTGATCCGGCAAGTGCGCTTCCGAGAGCTTTCCATCACTGTAACACCAGGGTAGGACGTAAAAAGCGCCAAAACAGGACCAAAAAAAAGGCCGGGGTCATACAGCGGCTGATCATTTCAATTATCTTTGAAACAAATTGGGGAGCCAATCCCGCCCACCACTTGAACACGATCACAATAGACTTGCCAACATGTCGAAACCTGACAAAAGTCCTCACATGTTGGGTCAAAACACAATTCTGATGCCCAAGCAACATGCCAAAACAAGACAGCGTTGCACATCCTTCATCTGAAGCGAAATCCGCAATGCAAATACAAGCGGTTAGCTTACAAACTTGGCATTGGTTAACGAGCCAAAACACACCGATTTCACAATTTTTTTGCAACACAACAGGACGGGCTAGGAAAGAAATATGAAAGCAAAATTGTCGACGGCTACAACCGTGGATTGTGTTAACTCCCTGAACATCTGTAATGCAACACACCTTTTCCGCACTCAGCGTTGCGGAAAGTGACGAATCTCCGACTCGCGCACTGAAGTCCACAGAATTATTTCACTCTATGTGTGAAGCTTGTAGCTACAATTGAGTTCTGTGTGGTTGCACTGCTCCTGTCCAAGACCTACCACAACAAGCGCAAGAGTAGCACTCTCCTTTTTCCTTGGGTTGCTCTGAATGTACCTTTCAGAGGGCTTGGAGGCAGGAAGCTTCAAGCTTCTCTGGCCAACCCTTTCGCCCCCGGTGAAGTGGAAAACAAGAGTAAATCTGGGCTGGACAATAGTGTCCAGGCTGTGTGAGACTTTGAAGTTTTAGACCAAATGTTATGGCCTCTCAAATCTACTCTGGGCCCCACTCCGACCTAACCACAGGCGGCACTGTTTTCTCACTGCGGCTGCAGTCTGCTGGGGTGGTTTGAGCCTATAATTGCGGAGTGAAACATATAGGTTACATTGGGCTCTAAGGGCAGATGTACAAAATTGAAATGTTTGTTACGCCCTCTTCGACTTTCATGGTGGTCTTCATCCACAAATGTCGAAATACTCAATCTGTACAACTACTCAGCCGGTCATCTCAATTCCGTATCACAAAACAGCTGCTCAAAGTCAAAAGATCAAATCATCATGAAAATCTCATTCACGGATCGATCATCATACCCGTCTTGGACGGCTTGCGACGACTTGGCTTCTGGATTGAAAGTTTTAGACCAAATCTTAAGGTCCACTCTTATCCTAT